TTTAGATTTTTCCCTTTGTTATAAATAACCTAGAAGTGGTCTAGGTTTTTCGGTGACTGAGCTAGTGAGTTGTAAAAATGACTATTTTCATATCTCAATAATTCATGAACAACAATAGGTTTATTTATGTTATTTTGTATTCTAGATATTCAAGGGTTTTTTAGGTATTCAATTGCGTAACTCTAATAGCTTTTGGGTTATGTGGGGTTCGAAAGGTTTAAGTAGATACCAATTGGGAAATATTCCAAAACATACATCGGAGATTTATATTTAATAATGAGATGACAAGGTTTAATTTCGGCTGATGAAATGATTTCTTATATTTACGTCAATTCTACAAAAAAAAAAGACTAGAGGTCAATGGGTACGAACAATGATTTGGAAGATTGGATTATGAAGAAGGTTTTGACTCTAAAAACAAAATGGCTCTGACCGAGCGTGTAGTCGCGAGTATGGAGTGTAGAGTAGAAGGAGGACCATCTCTGTATATGAAAATTGTCCCTAAAAACGCGTCCAATAAGGGTGGCGCTGCAGTAGCATAGGATAAATTAAAAAGCGCCAAAATTCATTAGAATAAGATGGAGAAATAAACAAGGACCGACCAATCCGCTTGGTTTTGTACTATGTAAATAGTTGAGGTTTTGTATACTGGCATTTTACTAACTACTCTAGTCATGAAATTTTTTAAATATTTTAATTCAGCTGACTTCACTCCGTCTACAACAGCTATATTCATATCGTAGTTTTTCAGACGCCAGCGCTATTGTGGTAGATTTTGGAACCTCTATTTTCAGTATATATTGGGACACTTTTTCAACTTTCGCACACACATGAATCTCCTTCTACTCTACACCCCATAGTCACGAGAACGTACGTTCTATAGTGTTCAGAGAGGTCGAGCATGATTTCTATCTATAGAGATAAGTCAACCAAGGTCAGTGGACGTTGAGTCTATTTTTTTACACTTTATACTAAATCCTGTTGGGCACAAACCACAATCAAGTCCTTTGAGCCACGTAAGTTCATATTACAAAGAGTGTTCACAGATATACCACGGATTACACTCTGATACGTGCAGGTAGTGTTTTTACTAATCGTAAAGGCAACATTTTGACTATTGGAGATGGCAGATTTCGAAGTACTCACTTTTATGCAGGTAAGTTGAATCTGAAGCAACTTGAAGAAAATAATAAATTAGGTCTTTCAAATGTTTCCCAATAGAACCTAATCTCACATTGTCAGAGTTAATAAGCATAGTGAAAATAGCCAAAAAAATAGTAACAGTAAAAAAGAAATTTATCGCGTGGCACAAATGGGTCGGCTCGACCGGGGGAGGACCATGCTCTCACAGAATACCGGCGTAAAATAATAGCTGTGTTAGCAGCAGCGGTGTTACTGCTATATTTCGTATGGTGAGTGTAGACAACCGGAGACCCTTCTTACTGGAAACGAGGCTTTCCATCTTAGTCCTCACGGGTGACAACGCATCTGCATTTTGATTCGTAATCGAGGATACATGTAGATGTCTATGGGCCACAGCAATCACTTACCATCAGGTGGACTGTGTGTTTGTTTGTTACCCTTATCTAGGGTTACCAGATGAAAACTCAAAAGTCCGGAGAAAAGGCCTGATTTCCATTGAAAAATCCGGAGATTTTTTACAGTTCGAAAAATTTCTCTCCAACGCACTTAATTTAAAAAAAAGTCATAATATTATAGGCGGGGGCATCGCTCTCATGAGAGCAGTGTCGCACACTCACTCAGTTCCACCCCAATGCGAAGATTGGACTGTTTTAACCATACTCAAGTAAATCATCATCAATCAATCTCAACTTAAATTTTTTTCTATTATGGGGGCTTAATGGTCGAATGAAAGAAACCGACTAACGGTGTCTTCAGTTCGAGCTATACTTTTAATTCAATATAATTTGAAGAGTTTAACATGTGGGGCATTATATAAATCAATACTTAAAGAAAAAACCTTACTTAAAAAGGTATCTTCACATATTAGGTATGATAAAACTGTTTAAGTACCTACTTAGATAAATAAATTTTGATTTTAATTGTGCAATTATTACCAAAGGAAGATTATTTTTACTTTGGTTAACTTTTTATTAAAGAGATCTTTAAAATGTAAGCTGCATTGTATTGAAAATTATAAAAATCCTGAGATTTCATGAGATTTGCAAAATCCAGCCGCAATGCTGAGAAGAGTCCAAAAATCTTGAAATCTCAGGACAAATAATGAGATACGGTAACCCTATCCTTATCCTATAAAAAAATCTAATTCGTTAGTTCGGTCAAATGTAAAGGTATGTAAGTATAATAATGTCTAGTCAGTACCTACTGTTGTTTACAACTCAACGTACTTATTTTCTTGAATGATGACAGTCCGAATATACAAAAGCGCTCCCACTAAACCAAAATATAAAATTATATACAGAAGCATGTAAAGAACAACTAGCATGCGAAGTAAACCCATTTTTATATAATATTTTACTCGATGTTATCGCCAGATTGTACTGTTATTTTTTTGCTTTGTGTTTGTATTAGTCTTTGTGTTGTGAAATTTTCAGATGAGACATTTTAGTTTCTTGTTTTTCGGATTTGAGGCTTCGGAATTTGTCTGAATTCGTCCATAATGGTTGTTTTAATTTTGCTCAACAGGAGAATGAAAGACAGGGTTGTCAAATCAAATGCTTCTGTCAATTAAAACCTTCATAGTAGTTTATGATGAAATTAATGAAATTCATAGAGCAACACAGGCCGCCATCGGTCCGGAGGAGAGAAGCCATACGCTGGCGTTACCCTGTGTCAAAGTATAAGTCCACGCGGTCCTATGCGCAAAATAAGACTAGTTGCAACCGTATTGCTCACTATGCTTAATTAGGTGCGCTACTGAATCGACATCCTACAAAAATGCCGCATGTTCAATTTTTTTCCTACAAAAAGAGGTTATACCACGTCAATCAAATTATTTTAAATTTTCACGTGGATACAGTTTACAAACATAAATTGCACAAGGACAAACATCCAGACCCGGATCCATTATTTCTTATTCTTACCAATATTTGTTCCGTGCGGGATTAAACCCGCGGTCCCTAGCGCTGCAAGTCATTGCTAAGGCACTGCGCCACGGAGCTGTCATTTGCATTTTGACAGAGGGGAACGCCTGCTTATGGCTACTCCCCTCGAATCCGCTGGAGGCTCGTGTTGCTTATATTTGTAACTAAAAACTAAAAAGCAATGGTCTTTTGTAAAGATATATAGTTGCAGAATATTTATTTTAATACTAGCTGTCCCTCCCGACTTCACCCAGGTAGAATTTACTACAATTTCATAGGTTTTAGTTTCTTCGCGCGGAACCCAAATTCTTTTTCTAAAACAAAAGTATCCTAAGTTACTCCTTAAAATATTAGCTACCTACCAGTGAATGTCCCGTCAAAATCGGTTCATCCGTTTCGGAGGTTACCCCGAACAAACAGACAGACAGACAAAAATTTTAAAAATTGTTTTTTTTTTGTTATTAGTACTTTCATATGCATTTAGAAAAAAACTGTTACTTTAACAATATAAACAGACACTTCAATTTTATTTATTTGTATAAAATCATGAGATGGGTGTAGTATACAGACTAACTACATAGTGGCGTGTAGTACGGCAATATAGAGTAAGTAAATAGGTTAATACACAAATAAGACCACGGAATATACAAACAACTAGTTTTTAATATTCCGTGAAAAAGACGATGCAAGGATGCGGACCGAAATAAAAAACAAAAAGCAAAGAGTATATAATATAATAAGTATATTCAAATGTCATTATATATATGACATGGACATTTACGCCCGCCACATACATACGGAATTCCGTTTCGATATTCCGTTTCGGAATTCCGAACGGGTCGGCCACACACATACGGAATCCCGTTTTGCCCGCAAAATTTCGAACGGAAAACTACCGTACGTGTGTGACGGGCCATATATTTATATGAACTTGCTGCGTTCGGAATCTCGGATCGGAATATCGAAACGGAATTCCGTATGGAGTTTTGGCGGGAATTTGACCGGCGGCGGTTTGTTGCTCCTGTCTTATTGTTTAAATAATGGTTTGAAGTAGACTTTGATATGTAAAAGTGGTGTATTAAGTATCTGCGCATGTGAACTATTATTAGAAACTGTGAAACAAGTGCTCTGATAGTGATGTGATTCTAAAAAAATAAGGTGCCTGTCTGCTTAGGCGCCTTGAGAACCATCGCCAACCGTCAGCTGTCTGCTGGCTCAAGTTACCGTCAAAATCTCCCAAGGGCTGCACAATGTGACGCATCAACATATTGTGAAGCAGTATACTATGAAGAATAATTATATATTGTAATTTCAGGCTCAGAACGGCTAGATCCCAGAGCCGTAAAGCCAGTTATCAAGAAGAAGATCAAGAAGGAATTCCGTATGTATGTGGCGGGCCTTACTTGACGTTTCTCGTTATCAGTTATAATCAGTTATCAATTTATCAAATGACAGTGACATTGCTCCAACAGTAGGGTAGGCACTGTAAAAAGAGTTATTATCACCAATTATCACCTTTAGCCGTCTTTAGGCATATATCCGTGTGCAAAATTAAATAACAAAGTGAATAACGGTAATTCATTACACTCTTAATTTTATCTATTTTGTTATATTTTATTGTGGTATTTTATTAAAATTTCTACGCCAAAGAGATTAACCTTGACATATTTTGTAATGTTAATAAAACGTAGGTAATTTGTTGAATAGAAAATTGACTAAGCTGTTAACCAAAACAAATTGTTCACTAAATGTATGTATATTATGATAATGATAATTTATTTTAATGGTCCTTTTTGCTAAAGGACACAGATTTAATAGAATTTATTATCTTACATCAGTCTAACAAGTAAGATTGGTACTGTACAATTATGTAAAGTAATATACTGGTAATGACCTCACTGAGATTATAAATATATAGTTTTTGTTTCAGTCAATATGAGTAACCTAGCAAGAAATTTATTTAACCAGCTGAAAAGCAAGGAATTCAGAGAATATTTGATGAGGTCAGTATCAAAAAGTACTTGTTTGAAATAATTTTAATTTAAATACTTAACTTAGTAATAAATGTTGTTGAATTAGATATTATTTTAAACAAGAGATTGTTTAATGAAATAAATGTAAGTAATCTTCGACATTACATAAATTACAACTTGGTAGAATAGTGGTTGAGCATTTACTTTTGGCTGTTGGTTCTTGTCCAGCATGGAAATGTATTCATATTGCTTAATTGTTATCCTTACAGCTAATCACAAGTCCACTGTAGAACCTCCTCTAGGTCTCTGCCATAGATAAACTCAGGGGGTTTTGCCATAGTTTTTTTTATTAATTGAGTTTGTTATCAGGAACATGCTGCTGCTCATCTTCCTGTTATGATTTCCTTCTGTCACCTGTTACAACACAGAACGGATGCCGATAATGTGGTGAATTGGACATTCTTATGCCATTACTAGGAGGTCACCCCATAAATTGCCATAAAGCATGGTATATAGCCACCTGCATGTATCAAATCCCTGCATATTGCCCAACGCTGCTTGCCTGTATGAAGTTGCACACTTGTGAGGGATTTGTCATTAATTGTGACAGTTACCTAATAATGGAAAGAAAGGAAACATAAATGCTTTGGAGTATGTTTGGATTGCTAGCAATGATGAACTACATCGCAAGAGCTCCTCAGGGTTTCTTTGAAAAAAATTTCTTATTATCAACAAATTTGGTCAACTGAAAAAATCTAAGATGGACAGTGTTATAGCTGACAACCTATTTATTCCAGACAGTTATAAAGAAAAAAAATTGAAAGAATTGTACATTTTTTTCATAGGATAAGGGTAACACAAGCATACAGTCCACCTGATGGTAACTTTACAGTGTAACCCATAGACATCTACATTTATCCTTGATTAAGTATCAAAATGCAAATGTATTGTCACTCCGGAGGAGAAAGATGTAATGCCTCATGTCCAGTAAAAAGGATTTCTGGTTCTTTACACTCATCATACTAAACAGCAGTGTTACACTGCTATTTTACGCTGGTATTCTGTGAGAGTGTGGTTCTTCCCTGGTTGAACCGACCCATTTATGCTACAACTACACTACTAATATAGCTGCAGCATGGCTCTACCACATTATAAATTTCTTTTTTACTGTTACTATTTTATTTTTGATTATTACCATTATGCTTATTAACTCTGACAATGGGCATGCAGCAAAAGGGTAGACAGGAAAATGTAAAAGCTAGAATTTAAATAAACAGAGAGGTAAATATGAAAACATAATCTCACAAATATTAAATATTGTACGGAAATATTTTTAGAGGAAGGATGGAAGGAAGGAAAATTGGTGGAGAGTAAAGCATTAGAGTAAATTATACTTTATTTATTTATTTCATAGACATTTACCAATATAATTTTATTTTTCAGTACTCACTTCTGGGGTCCCGTGGCAAATTGGGGCATACCATTGGCGGCTATTGCAGACACACGGAAAGATCCTGTATTTATAAGTGGCAAAATGACATTTGGTATGGTATTATTGTATTGTATTGTAGCGAAGTTGGGGCGAAAGACAATCCACTACCCCATGTCATACCGTGGGTGTCATATAGGGCGACAGAGGGCAATGAAACAAGAGATGGGCAGTAGCAATTTGCTGATAGCAAAATCATTAAAAAAATTGGGGATACATATCTGCCTGCAAAGCATGGAAATTATGGCAAATATCTCCAAGAGGCAATCTGTGAGTGGATGGATGCCTTTATATAGCAGTAGACTTTAAATGAACTTAAAATGAATGTATAAAATTGGTATTACGGTAAAACTTGGTTAAGTGGGACCTGGATAAGTGAGAAACCTTCATAGCCTGGACTCATGCTTAGGTCCTGACACTTTAGCACTGAATTACCTCTGTTAGTGGGACAAATAAACTTCTATATCTGGGATTAGTTCTTTTCGATTTTATCATCATAATTACCTCCATAATTGAGACAGTAAGTATGTTTTACCTCTTTTACTGAAACTATATTTTGTGTACCGTTTTGTTTACTAATTCTTATTCTACCCACACATTTTTAAATACGTTATTTTATTTAATAATTGCACCTCTATAACTGGAATAACCTCTATTCTCACCTCTATTAATGGAACCCTCTGTAAATGAGACAGATATGATTTATACCTGAATATCGGAGACAGTAAGTGGAATAACTCTTTAAGAGAGACAAGTTTAAAGGTCCCTTAAGGTCCAAGTTATCCAGGTTTCACTGTATTAGATTTATTTACATAACAATTCTTCTTCTTTCTAATTTATTGACTCGTAAACGTCCCCTGCTGGATGTGGATCTCTGCTGTTAGGATAGGTAGTGAGGATTTGCTTTAATTGTTATGCTTTGGAGGCTGATTGAGGATCATAGTGTCTGCTGCCTATCGCCTGGCCTGGGTATATTGTCTTTTTTTTAGAATAAGGATGACAAACAAGCACATAGTCCACCTGATGTTAAGTAGATGCTATGACACATAGACATTTACATTTATCCTCAATTAAGAATCAAAATGCAGATGCGTTGTCACCCCTGAGGTCTAAGATGGAATGCCTCTTTTCCAGTAAAAAGGGTCTCCGGTTCTCTACGCTCACCATACGAAACAGCAGCATTAAGCTGCTATTGTAAGCTGGTATTCTGTGTGAGCGTGGTTCTTCCCGGTTGAGCCGTACTATTTGTGCTACGTGCCATAATATACCTGCAGTGTGGCTCCACCACGTATAAATGTCTGACGTAAAGAAGATGTAACAATTAGACTACTTTATTTTGGAAGCATATAGTAGTAGCTCAGGGTATAAGCAGGGGTCACCAAACTTTCTTCTCCCATATAAATAATGATTTGAATGATCTTAAAAAAAGTATATATATATATATATATATATATATATATATATATATATATATATATATATATATGACTTCCTCCTGGTCACATATTGTAACGTAAGGCTTTTATATAAAGTAAAACTTTATTTTATGTAAAGTAACATCGTCGCTGCGACTGCCAAATTCCATATGTGTTTTTTGTGCTAAACATAATCTCTTTTTCGTTCTCTATGTGTTGATAAAGTTCTTTTTGCGATATTAGAACTAGAAACGATCCTAACAAATTCCATATGTATTTTGATAGAGTCAGAATGGATAGAGAGTATAATAACCTAACATCACAATCTGCAAATTACTTAAACACAAATGGAGATAAGTCAGGAGTGGGAAAGGATGAAAATTGAGTAATTGTTGTTGATTTTGCAATATTATCCAAGCAAGCAGAGGATTAGTATCGCTTTCGCTATCGTATTCGCTCCAAGTAATGCTGATAAAGCAAATTTAAATCGACGTTATTTGGTAGAGAGCATGAACGTGTTTTACCAACTCCTATGGACCTTAAGAAGTTCTAAGCACGACATGGATCTTGGTTTTGTTACTGACTTATGGATGTACCGGCGTCGTTAATCTCTACACATTTTGTTGCATTTATTTCGCAGGAGTCTGTATTTCTCCTGAATCCTGTAATTATTTGGATTTCACCTGTATCTTGACTTTACGTCTATAAATCTTTTAAGATCTTCAGTCAACCATGAGGCTGTGTGATGACGAATTCAACAAGAAGTGAATTAAACATTGCATCTGTTCGTCAACAGTGCAAGCGTTTGTTTTATTTCTTCAGTCTATATTTGCAGAGTGTTTTCGTAGCCATTCCACAATTAAACCCTGTTTCGAAAGTTATTAAATCACATTCTGTCAAAGAATGATTCAACTTAGTAAATGAAGTACTAAGTCACTATTCTATATCTCTCCATATCATCTTGTTTGTCATAAGTAATGTGGGATTATTTTATAGTTCTAGTAGTTTCTAATAATTATATTATTTAAGTATTTTGTAACCTAAATAAACCTAAACGTCACATAACGATAAACCTAATATAAAAATGTGTCACATTGCCAAAACTATCATGTGCAATAACGCACATACGTCACTGCTTAAGACGGTTCTAAACCAAAGACGTATTTACTTTTAAAAACATCTTAGTTCTAAACCAGTTATGTACACTTTTTGGTTCAAAAAAAGTCTAGCTCCTTAAATAAGAACAATTTATGGAAAATTTTGTATTTCTAATATGTCTCAAATAAATGTCTATTATATTGCATTAATAATTTTGCAGTGTTTCTGTTTGTTTATTCAATAACACTTTTTTTGTTGTTTCCCAAACCCTTACAAATATCACATATGGAACTTGTCAGTAGCAGCGACGACATACTATTAAGCTAGTACTTCAATAATTAGCGATATTACACCCCCTGGATCCTTTAAGGTAAAAGTAATATGTTTTTCAATACTCAATACTTTATTGAATTTCATTAATCACGTTATACTCAACATTTTTAGACTATTATATAAATAATGCCACATTAATAGATCCTACCCAGGCGATGCCGGGGCAGGTAGTTAGTCTCCAATATATCGCCAATTTGATCGATATACTTTTAGAGCATCCTTTGCCGATTCGGTAACTCGAATAAAAACCTTATTTTTAAGAACATATAATAAGGTAGCTTATCTAACCAATAAATCTAAACAAATCGTTTGCTATTTGATTTTTATAGCGGACTGTATACTTTATTACAATGATCAATGCACAAATCTTTTCAATGTTATTAATCATAACTTAGTATTTTATCTAATAAATTTTCCATTCATGCATTTGTTGTGTGTGAGATAAGAATTTTATAATATGATGCAGATACTAGCTGAACTGGAGACCGTTTTTATTAGTAACTACGCATTCTATTTAGATTATAAATTAAAAATATCTAAAACAACTCTACGAGAGTTTCTGATCAAATAACTAGGTTACGTAGGTACGATGTACTATAGTATGTTGTATTTAATAATGTAATAGATTAGTATAATATATCAATGGTATTTTACGTGATAAGATAATTTACTTTATATTGCATGATTTGATGTGTATACTGATTTATCTCAAATTTATAAATATTAAATACACTAGCTGTGCCCCGCGGCTTCACTCGCGTCATCACGTTTCAGAGGTGCGCGACAGTTCAAGCATTTTATAATTGCAATTAAATATTTTATTTGATAGCAATGTATGGAAAAATTGGCATAATTAATGGAGTACTTTTATCTGTCGGCATATTATGTATGATGTAGAGCGAAGTTAAGTTTTATCCACTTTCCCTCCCCCTCCCGGTTGAGCAGTTCTCGCAGTTCTCACCGGGCGGCTAGGGTTTGTGTCGTTCGCGCGCCCAGGCAAGTATTGTATTATTTTAATTTTACATTATCTCTTAAACTATGCGTCCAAATAACATGGTATAAAGAACAAAGTTTATCTTCATAAAATTGTCTTGATTATGAAGTAACTTTCGTTCGTAAGGATAAATAGGCCATGCCTAAAAATAACGCTCATAAATCACTTTTAAATTTTCAATATTTTTTGTCACAAAATACCTAATTATGGCTTATGTATAAGAAATAGACATATGGTATCGCGGACTTTTTTTTTAGATGGAGTAAAGATCTATATTTTTCTAGAACATTGTATTTACGTATCCCTAACGATAACACCAGCGTACGCGGTTAAATCATTTCGGGAGTGCTTTTTCTTCTGACTTGCTTAACAAATATCCATATTTTAGGCTAGCTGAGTGATATAGCTTAATGTTACATAGCCTATACTATTCCATATAAATCTGGCTATAATAAACAAAAAGAATTTTTCAAATCGGACTGGTAGTTCCAGAGATTAGCGCGTTTAAACAAACAAAAAAACAAAAAAACTCTTCCGCTTTATTATATTAGTATAGATAGTATAGATTATATTAGTATAGATTAGTGATTTGTTAATAAATCTATAAACTTAACATTACTAATTATAGTAAGTTTTAGTTGATAGACCACCAGGTATTAAACCGTGTGTGGTTTCTGCTGGTGTGCTAAAAATATTTTTCGTGTATCAGTTTGTTTTTTGTATTTTGAATTTAAAAAAAATTAAGTGCTCAGGGATGATAACGTATCCGCATATTGATTTTTAATCGATGATAGATGTGTCTACAGGTCATAGCATCCATTTACAGGTGGGACTAATGTGCACGTTTGTCACCCTCCTATAAAAAAGGTAATGATTATGTATGTCATCACTATGAGTGATGACATACATAATCATACCAGCTGATCAGTGACCGTCAGTACGGTTTTCGTCGGGGTCGATCAGCAGGTGATCTTCTAGTTTACTTAACTCATAGATGGGCGGAGGCAGTAGAGTCCAAGGGGGAGGCGTTGGCCGTTAGTTTGGACATAGCGAAGGCCTTCGATCGGGTCTGGCACAAGGCGCTTCTTTCGAAGCTTCCTTCCTATGGGCTTCCCGAGAAATTGTGCAAATGGATCACCAGTTTCCTTGCTGATCGGAGTATCAAGGTCGTAGTAGACGGTGCATGCTCTGATTTCAAGCCTATCAACGCTGGTG